TGTCGTTAATAGCTGAATTGATACAGCGCCAACAAGATAGATTGCTATTCCAGAACTGATCATTGGACGATCACCCAGTGATGAAATTTGTGAAATATTTTTACCATTTTCGTCCGTAAGTGGCGCACCGTCAGAATCATGCAGTGAAGCCTGAAACTGATTTACATTGCTTGATTGTCCGATAGAAAGAGAATATACTTGAGATAGCTGTGTCATATAAAGGATCATTGTAATCGATGATACAAGTGATGTTGTGAAATGAATTCCGCTTCCTGTCGTTGGATCTAATTGCTCAATACTGTTTATATGGGCCACTGATATCACAATACTGGTAATAATGGTGTTGTCCGTCAGCGATGCATTCTGGTAACAGTTTTCATCTGAAACTGTTGTCTAAATTAGACAAACATTTCCCTTTGTGTTTTATTGAACTTGTCAAAGTCAAAGCATTCATTACGGTTTCTATCTGACTTCTATGAAGAAAGTAAGCAGGAGTTGACTTATCCTAGAAAACTTACCGAAAACCGAACAAACATATAACCGTCTTTATGGTTCAAGTCTCGTTCCGCGTGCGCAAAAGCTTGCTCTTTCAAGCCGAACGTATATCTCGTTTCCTCAAAACAGATTAATGCTTTCCAATAAGGCAGAGCAAGATGTCTTGACACATCTCAACTGAACACAAATTGGAGTTTCCGTGAGGCTTATTCACGGTTTCCAACGTTGTTAATCGAGTTCTAAACAACGAAACGGTGCGTTGTGCTCTTAAAAGGGCGCAAAGACCATGTTTCAATTGCAGACAATGTTTCTCCACGGTATTTGCAGCCTTAACACATGTGGATTGCTTACCGGCTCTAGGCTAGTTGGTCGAGTATCAATGACAGTCGAACTGTGACTCGAAAGGTGGGATCCGTGGGATGTTGCGCTACTTGGTGAAGCGTCTCTCGAAGCATGAGTTGCCGCTAGTGTTGGAACACGTGAGGAAATTGCGATGTCGGTCAGAAGGTGACTGATTGTAGATGTTCGAGTAATTAGTGACGTAGGAATGCGCGTGGAATGATGGCTTTTTGCTGATGTTGCGCGGCTTGTTGAATTGTGACTGTCAGTCGAAGGGTCATTTTCTGCGGCTGTGGGAGCATCTGAGGTAACCTCGCTCCGAGTCGAAGAGTGATTTGATGCAGGGGTTGGAGGACTTGGTGAACTGTCTCTCTCAGTCGAAAGGTCACTCACGGTAAGTGTTCGAGTACTTGGTGAACTATGCTGGCGAGTGGATCGATCACTTTTGTCTAGTGTTAGGGCACTTGGTGGACTGTTGGTGTCAGTCGAGTGGTGACTCGCGGAAGATGTTGCAATACCTGGTGAACGGTCGCTGTCGCTTGAAGCATTACTTGCACCTGATGTTGCAGCACCTGCGGAAGTGTGAGTCGAACGGTAAGTGGCTTCTAATGTTGCGCTACTGCCTGAAGTTGGAGTGTCAGTCGAAACTTCATTTATTGCCAGTGTTAGTGCACTTGATGAAATGTGACTGTCGCTTGAAGGATGACTACTTGGAGGGGTTGGACCTCTTCGTGAAGTGTGAGTGTCGGTCGAAGCGTGAATTGCTCTGGATGTTGCATGACTTGGTGAACTGTCGCTCACAGTCCATGGGTAACTTTCGGTAGCTGTTGCATTACTTGGTGAACTACGAGGGCGAGTGGAATGATGACTCTTTCCTGATGTTGCGGCACTTGGTGAAGTGTGGATCGAACTGTGGGTTGCTTCTGATAGTGCTGTACTGCCTGAAATCGGAGTGTCAGTCGAAACTTCATTTATTGCGAGTGTTGATGTACTTGATGAAGTGTGACTGTCGCTTGAAGGATGACTACTTGGAGGGGTTACACCACTTGGTGAAGTGTGAGTGTCAGTCGAAGCGTTACTTGTTTCTGGTGTTCCTGCGCTTGGTACCTGCAACAGCGGAAGTTTATCTGTAGAGGCTCAAACTGAAAAGATACCAGTAGTCTGTGAGCGAAAGCAGAAAAAATGATTGAGTGTCTTTTGGACAACTTTCAATTTTCTGCAAAATCTCGGTTGAAACGTTCGAAAAAAATGAAAGTTGCCCAGAAGTCCTGATCCACATGTCAATAAATTCGGTTTTTGATGCTGATTCCAAATATAGTATTTGTTTGGCAAAATAATGGTAGTTTGGCGGTGAAATTCACTTGTATTTTGCACAAAATACAAGTAAATTCCCTTGTTTTTTGCTACCGGTTTCAAAAAAATTAATTTTCGCAACAAAGGCGTAATATTTTCCAAAACCGATCCTTAACTCTGTTCCCGCTATTATGGCGAGTGGAATTATATAAAAATATCGGCTTCATCTCCTATCTCGACACCTGAAGCTGTTTGCGTCAACATAAACGGGATTTTATGCTATTGGTGAAAAAGTAAAATTTTTTAGATCGTACCACACTT